TTTGGTATGCAGACATATCTATGGTAGGTGCTTATAGTAAGGTATATATAAATGAGTTTGTAAAAGGGGGCATAGCACTTAACATAGGCTTGGAATTTTTTATCAGCCGTAACTTCGGAACCACAAGTCACATGACCCCTTTAATTCCTCATGACGTGGGGTGAAACCCGCAGGTAAAAGCTAGTTATCTATAAATAAGATTGTGAAATGCACTGAATACAATTTATTCTTTTTATATAAAACTAGCAAACCCGGCGCACTTCGTCCCGCCCAAAATACATTTTTCTTTTGAAACATTTTGGTCCAATAGTTCACGTTCATGATTTTCAATGACGCATTTATCTTGTAATATTACGGTTTGGTGGTTGTCCGAAGGCATATTTCCATTGCCGTCTTAAATAACCTAGCAAAATTGTATATGCATACATACTTCGACATTACGCTGTTCGGACATGTATTTTTATTGCTCCGTGCTGTTAGGGCTTTTTTATTCTAATTAAATGAATCTTTGTGCTGTTTGTAATAAATGTTCAGCCAAGTGTGTAAATCTTTTCTACAATCACTTATTGGTCCGGAAAGTAATAAAGTCATTCCATCTGTTTTACCGGCTGCTTCGAATGCTGTTGGCAACAATACAATCATACAATCTTCACGCGCTCGAGACTCAAAGCGCAGGGGAAAGCCTCTCCAGCTGCTGCTAACAATACCCAGTTTCATTCTCAATCTGTTACTGATGCTTTCTTTGATGCCGATATCGTTGATCGCAATAAGAACGTTGCTGTTAAGTCTGCGTTGCCTACACAATCCAATGCTATGAAGGCTTCACTTGTTGTAACCGCCACCACTACGAATATTTCTCATTCTGTTGTTGAGTCACTGGCCCCTGCGGCTGTCACCTCCTCTGCTGCTCTCACGTTTGCCGAGATGTTGGATCGGCTCCGGCTCTCACCACCACTACTACGGCAATCTCAGATAAAGTGAGAATGTCACCTGCTGTTGTTGCGAGTGCTACAATATTGTCTACTTCTGCTGAAGCACCCGTCCATCTATTGATGCGATTAATAACGCGCAGTAGTCAAATGCTGTTAAAAAGGAACAAAAAGCAAATGCGTGTCGTAGGTACAAATAATTCCACGGATTTGGATGTTGCTGTTCGTTTGAAATGGTTACATCTAGCATCTTTCTCACCATCAGTCTCTGAAGATAACATTAAAGACTATATTGCTAACAACACTGGCATTAATAAAAGCTCTCTTTCATGTTATAAAATGGTTAAAAATAATACACCAATTGCTGATTTAAACAGTGAATTTTAAACTGGGGGTCCCGGAGGCCTCGTTTCCCAACCTGCTAAAATCTGAAATTTGACCAGCAACTGCAATGGTAAGACCGTTTCCGTTTTTTTCAAAAGGACCTTCAGCAACCGCCCCGAAAGTAGTTAAGTCATCTAGCCATGTTAATGGGTTAAGGATTTATTTCCATAATTTATCTGGTATGCGAACTAAAGCTGATATCGTGTTCTATTTTAGCACGCAAATGGATTTCGACGTTTTTGTTCACGTTGAGACCTGGTTGAACAACATTTTTTTCGACAGTGAATTCTTCAACTCCAAGCTCTTTAATGTGTTTCGTAAAGACAGAGATACAGATAAAACAGGGTGTTTGAGAGGAGGTTTAGTGCTTATGGCTGTCAAGCGTGAACTGTGTTCGTTTCAGGTTCCGCTTAGTAATGCTGATGCTGAGTTGGATCAGATTTGTGTGCGTATAATCGGGCTTTCTTCGAAGGAATCTTTATATCTCATAACCTCTTATATACCACCTGTCAGTTCATTCGATATTTATAAGGCGCATACTGATAATATTGCTGCTGGAGTTTAATACGATTTAAAGTGTAACCGAATATGTGGTCTTGGTGACTTTAATTTACCTAATATTAATTGGTGTATTAATTCATCAGGCTTTAATCTCATAACTCATAACATCATTGCTCATCATGAATTATACTTCATAGATAATATTTTAAGTTTTAATTTAAAACAAATGAACAGTTTTGCCAATTCATAAAATAGAGTTTTAGATCTTATTTTCGTAAGTGATAACCTGAGTTACACTATCGAAGAATGTGTTAACGCAATTACTCCTAAAGACAAACATCACTTGCCTTAAGTCTTAAAGCTAGGTGTATATAGTTTCGCCTAGACGTTTTTATTGTCCATGCCTCCGCGCCATATACCAGCACAGGCATGATGAGTGACTTATAGAGTGATCTTTGTACGACGATAGAGGATTTTACTTCTCAATTGCCTACTCAGTCCAAAGTAGCACTTGTTGGCAAGAGTGATTCTTCGTTGGATTTCAAGGCTGACATTATTATTGGTGTTAATGCTGGTTCCCAAATAAACCAAGTCGTCTACTTTTTCAAACTTGTAACTGTCAACAGTGATGTTTGTGCCAAGTCGCCTATGCTCTGACTGTTTGTGTGATGACAGGAGATACTTGGTTTGTCCTCGTTCACCACCAGACCGACCCATTCGCTTTGCTTCTCTATCTAATCCCTAGAAGACAGAACTGACGTAGCCTTTGTTTCTACCGATAATATCGAAGTCGTCGGCAGACGCCAGCAATTGTACGCTCTTGTTAAATATTGTGCCTGAGCGGTTGAGTTCTGCGGCTCTTATTATCTTCTCCAACATCAGATTAAAGAACTTGCACGAAAGGGAATCACCTTGTCTGAAACGTCGTTTGGTATCAAACGGCTCGGAGAGGTCCTTCCCATTCCTGACAAAGCTGATGGTATTGCTCAAAGTCATTTTACACAGCCGTATTAAGTTTCGCGGGGATACCAAATTCAGATATCGCGGCATAAAGACAACTTCTCTTCGTACTGTCGAAAGCGGCTTTGAAATCGACAAATAGATGTCGATCCTATTCTCGCGGGCCTTTACCAAGATTTGGCGTATTGTGAATACCTGATCTATGGTGGATTTGCCAGGCCTTAAGCCACACTGACAAGGTCCAATCAGTTCGTTGACGGCGGGCTTCTGTCTTTCACACAATACACTCGATAAGATCTTATAACCTATGCTTAGAAGGCTGATCCCGCGGTAATTGGCGGGTCGCCTTTCTTGTGGATTGGGCAGAGCACACTTAAATTCCAGCCGTTGGGCATGCGTTCATCTGACCATATTCTGCATAAGAGCTGATGCATGCACCTCATCAGCTCCTCGCCACCGTACTTGAATAGCTCGGCTGGCAGGCTGTCAGGTTTGCTGTTTTTCAGCCGCGTAATCGCTATTCGTACCTCGTCATAGTCAGGCGGTGGGACATCGACAACATCGTCATCGACTGGGGGCTCGGGTTCATCTTCTCCACTTCTTTCAGTGCTGGGGCCATTCAATAGGGTGGAAAAGTGCTCCCTCAATAATTTAAGTACGTTCTGGATATGCAAGTTATTACGCCGACAATATTCCTCCAATTGTTGTAAAATCTATTTTGTAGATATGGTATCATACATGCTGTGTTAGAAATATTACCAGTCGTTTCAGATGATTAGCATTTAATATGTTCAAAGTTTCAAAGACTTCAGACGCAGTCCCCAAAATCATCTTATGACAGCGAAAGAGATGTGGTTCTTCGGAAGCTGGATCACCGACTAGAAACTCACTATCTGCCAGATGATTATCTTCATGCAGTAGACGCAGTTTTCGTTCCTTGCTACTAGGCATTATGCATTAGCAAGAGCACATTAAACACATATAAATCCGTTTAATAGATCACTTCATATAATCAGATAATCTCTTCGTAGAGCTGCGGTAGAGGAATTTCAATTATCTTTAGCACTGTGAGCATCAGTTTATAAATTTTTATTGAATCACCCTTCAACGGTGGTAGCACGAATTTCAATTTTAGCGTAATTTGTTAAGCAGTGACGATAGTAATTAATTGCGTTGGGATTATGTTTCCACAACCACTCCAATTAAAATTATCATGACATCGGAAATATGTGGCAAAAGACGTTCACTACGGGCCAGCCATTCAGTTTGTTTCATGGTACAGCACATTTTCTGAATTGTCAAACTGGTTTACATTGGGTGTAATTGGAGATTTCTCATTTGACATTTTATGTTTCTCAAGCAACAACAAAATACATGGCAGGGTTGCATTTGATCTTCTGCTATTACCTGTTTATTGTGTCATCGCACACACATTCAATTGATTAGACCCACAAGAAATGAGCATTTGTACCATAATCGCAAATTGAAGCACAGTATGAATGCAATGCAACCACTGCGTTATTAAGTATTAAAATATAATAAAGATTTTCATAAAAAGTCTCAAATTAAATTTATTAGATGTGTGATCACAAGATTAAGATAAGAGCAGTTGACGCACGATACGGTGGTACATGCTTTGATTACCATGTATGGAACCTGTCCAGCGAAAGAAGGGCTTTACAATCTCGTTTTGACAATGGCGAGAGAGGGATACGGCATGGTGGAATAATAACCAGGTGTTGTCAGTAGCGACGTGATTGTTGTAATTTTGACAAGGTCGGCATGCTTATTTTCAGTGCTGCCGATCTTACTTTTCATACTACTATTCCTTGGGAAATAGTATCTAAAATATTCCATTTTAGTAATTCGTTTTATCGCAATTTTTAAAGAACTTGGTGTTTTCAGAACGATATTAATATTTAAAATTGATGGCTTTGTATAATGTTTGTCCTCAAAATGTAAAAAAATAAATGATATCGTGGTTATCAATGGAAAAAGACGTACACAAAAATCGTATGGAAAGGCGATTTTTTGTTTAAAAGAACTCTTGCTGCATTGTCATAATATTGAGCCAAATGGACTACTGATACACTAAGGGCCAGTTTTTCAGTGCGAGTTTAACTCTGTTTGCCGTTTAAACTAAGTTTAAACTCAGTATGCAGTTTTTCAGTCAACTTTAAACGTAGTTTAAACTAAGTTTAAACTGAGTTTAAACAGCCGATCTGGCAGGGTTAAACTTAGTTTAACCTATCAGCTGTGTGCTGATTCGTTTTTTTTGGTTGCAAAAAAATAATTAAACGCAAAGTCTTGTAATTTAATTTTTACTTAAAAAATGGATATTTCCTCTGACGAAAGTGATTATAGTGACGCGGCAGTAAGTGAAATACTTACGATTACTATACTGAGGAGAAAAAGAGTCATATGTACTCAAGAATGATAGAATACAAAGATTGCGCCGATAGGGGTGCAAAAATTTTTCGTTCTGCGCATCTACGTCATAATATAAAAGTTGTTGTTGGCGATCTGTCAAATCGCATACAATTTCGACGAAAAAAAGTAAATATAGCATAAAATTTAGTCGAAAGACTAAAATAAAACAATCTGGTGGCAATTTATTGAATCGAGAAGACGGTAAATTTATTTTGTGTTTCTTTTACATTATTTATATTATTATTTTATTTCAGGTGAGTAGGGCGTTCAAATAAAAATTGCATTCTGTGGCCGCCGTTGCGCTGGCAAATGGAACGAGTAAGATTTCCAAATGAAATTGAAGCCACAGCAAATAGTGCATAGCTCCAAGGCTTGGAAACAAATATAGAAGCTATATGATGCCAGAAAGACTACAGAGAATCGAAGAGCGCTAACCAGGAAACAGCGTAAAAGGGCCAATTCGTTGAGCAAGGGCGTGCTCATAGCATGGTAAGTAGCATCTGCGACAATACATTACTTTTTACTAACTTCCAATGCGTACTTATTTCAGGAAATACAATGCAAACGGTGCCAACATAAAATTAAACTGCCAAGGCATAAGCAAGAAATTTTACCTGAAACTGTGACGCCTGCCCACAGCATCAAATAAGGATATCGTTCCAATGAAACCCAATATTAACGACGTATTTTGACGACGATGAACTCTTTGCGAACGCTCCGGGTTTTCATCACCGGGCTTGTAAATTGATGGCACGGGGCCTCGTTTCAACAATCTTCTTTTTGCATAACCTTAGAAATGTTTTAAACACTTTCATTAATATAAACACAATAAACGAAATAAATAAACATCCTACCCACTTCAAACTGCAGACTATTTTCAAAATCTTCACTTGCAAAGTGATGCATGCAAATATAGCAAGTTTTAAATTGGAAATCCTTGCTTTGCCGGCAGAACTGGATCCACTTTTTCCTAAGTTCTGGATCTGAAGGAAAAGTAAACAAACTGCACTCTGCCGCCGTTTTTCCACATTTCGCAACTGCGCACTTCATTTTACAACGTTTTTATTTTATAACTTTAACAAAAATATCACAAATCAATACGTTTTCCTCGCAAACCAATACGTTTCCCTCGCAAACCAATACGTTTCCCTCGCAAACCAATACGCTTCCCACCAAAAATTTTATATTATGACGTCAAAACTCGAACAGCTGATTTGTAAACAAGAGTAACGGACCTGCGCAAAGCGCAATCTCTTTATTCTATCATTCTTGATATGTACTCACCCGAATCATTTTAATATTTTTGATGAAAAAGATTTTTTTGAACGCTTTCGCCTGACAAAAGCATCCGCTTACAGCGTTTTGGAGCTTATCGGAGAGCACATCAGGCACCCGACAAATTGGTGAGCATTTATAATTTTAAATAATTCAAAATATTAAATTCTCGGTACTTTAGGAATCACGCATAGACAGAGGAACAAATGCTACTTATCACCCTACGGGTATATGCAGCTGGTGGAATGCTTCAAACAATTGGCGATTTGTTCGGAATATCGAAGTCAACGGTGTCTAAAGTGGTAACGTTGGTGTCACACCATATAGCTCTGCTGAGGGCTCGTTTCATTAAATTCCCAGAAAGCGATACGGAGAAACTTGAAACCTATAAAGGATTCTTCAAAATTGCTAAGTTTCCCACAGTGATAGCAGCTTTGGATTGCACACACATAAAGATAATTTCGCCAGGTAACAACTTTTATTAAACTATTTCCGCAATTATACTGATGTACATAATTCCTTTGTAGGTGGTGAAAACCCGGAGCTATATCGGAATAGAAAGGGATTCTCTTCCATCAACGTTCAAACCACATGTGACGCTAGTCTTAAAATAACAAATATTGTGGCTCGCTGGCCAGGTTCTGCTCATGATTCAAACATATTAAGGAATTCTAGGATGTACTCACGTTTTGAAAGCAGTGATTTCGGTGACAGTTTAATTATTGCAGATAGTAGACACCCGAACAAAAAAAGGCGTGAGTACTAGGTATTCATGAAATTTGATGTGTATACATATGCGAACGGCAAAGCATAAAAGTACGTTTACATACAAATATAATCTCAATCAAAGCTCGTTAGCTGTCAAATTGGTTGTGCTTGTTATTCACACAACTCGAGGAAAAGTTAAACTTCTTCACTGTGCCACCGTGGTCACTTTTTTTTTGCAACACATATTAGGCCATTTAAATATATTTTAACTGAATATTTTATTAAAAATACCTTTACAAACCTATTTTCCTTACTAGCGTCAATTTTTGTTTACTTTAACATTTGACATTCCTCTTCTTCGCAAGTATAATCGATAAAACTGGGTTGGACACCAAAAAGTTATCGGTTTAATCTGAGATATTTTTAATTATAATTTTGCATGGCTAATCTCTTTTTCTAATAACAGATTAGGGAGTCAAGCTCGAAAATTAGGATAATATTTTTATATATAAAGGCGATTCAGTTACACACATACAAATGTAGGTTAGGTTAGAAATTAAATATTAATTTCACTTAATTTTATTAATTTTGCTGATTTAATTTTTTTATTCATTTTCATTTTTAATTCTTTTAATACATGACATTATCGGTATGATTGATAAAAATATGCTTGTACATATATACTTGTGACTCAAGGGCGTTAAAATATCTTGGAAACACCGCATATAGGTACATTTTCAAGTTTTATGCGGCAAAAAATATTTTATTGCCTCTATCTACTCAAAATTGTTTATCAAATGTAAAATTGAAATAATTTGTATTACAGATAGGTTATATTAATAAAATATATATATTAGCCAATAATTTACTATTTAAATATATTGACAACCTTTATTTATAAAATGTGTGTACACTATCATTGGTTAATTATTTTTCGCTTTCAGAATCTTCGCTGGCCTCAAACTATTCCTTTGTGACATCTTTGACAACGGATTTAGAGGGTAAAAGCAGCTTTATTGTGTCTGGGGAAAACGATTTGATACTTTTTCTTTTTTTGGTCATGAACCGAAATACTGCTTAAAAACGAGTCCGAGCTCATCAACAGCCGGTTATATATGTCACGGTTACATCCTTCACGAGAAAACTTCCGGGAATAATTTTCTCGGAAGTGTTTGTTGTGGGCCTCTTGAGTCCTCCCGATAATTGTCCTATTGTTAATAAGGAATTAGTATCTTGTGCATTGTGGGTATCATGCCGTCGTCGATTCGCCGCTTCTCGCTCGCTATGTTTGAGTTCCGGTCGCTTAACGAAAAAGTTTGCATGTGAAAGCAACAACAAAGTTAGCTAGCACGGACAGACGATAGCAAGTTTGGTTGTACCTCATTGAGTTCGTTCGTTTCGCCACTTGCTAACTGATGGCGAATCGATGACGGCTAATAATCAATTGTAGCGGATTTCCTCTTACTATGCATATGCCTAAATGTATGCAACCATTTGGCAAGCTAACACAGGGTGCTTCTAATGAAAATAAAAATTGTATGCTGAAATACACATGCTAAGCCCTTCGAAATTTTGTGCTGGGATATGCGTTACAGCTTCGCAAATTTTACCCCTACCGAAACCAAAGATGTATACACATCAAAAATTTCTGATAACTCCTTTTTCAAACCCGATGACTCCAGAGCAAAACCTATTTAACGATTCTTTAATCAGAACACGTTGTACTGTTGAAAGGAGTTATGGAGTATGGAAAAGGCGATTTCCGATTTTATCGCTTGGAATTCGTTTGAACCATCGAAAAGTGCAAAGTATAATTGTAGCTACCGCGGTCTTGCATAATATTTGCTGTATGAACCATGAGCCTGAACTTCCCGTATTAGCACGTAGCATATCATCCGCTGTTGACTTCGCGCTATCAGTCCCAAGAAACAGACAGCAGGAGGCATCAAATGTGAACAACTCAACAAGATCAGTTTTAGTAAATCAATACTTCAAAGACTTACTTCGAAATGAAAGAAGTTAGTTTTAAAATTATACTCAACTTCATTTTTTAATCCAGTATTTTCATTTGAAAAATCATACATATCAAAATTACTTTTTTGATATTCATAGTTAAATAAATTACGTAAATACCTTTTCTAAATATTTACAGTTAAATAAATGTGTACACATTAAAATATCACATAAAAATGCATTGAATTGCGAGTCTTAAATATTTTTCCACCTAAACATTGGTGAACTTAAATAGGCACATTCTTAGGTATCAATACATGTATCTATGTACATAATAACTATGCACGCTAAACTATCTTTTTTTGTCTTAATATTAAATAAACTTAAGAGGTACATTCAAGTCTTGGTTTCATAATTACTGATATGGTTAAATTCATTTTATCACAAAAATTTTAAAAAAATTCCTCAAAACTAAAAATCAAAATAAAACTTCTAAAAACCTATTCCTAATTCCTTTTTCTTAAGCTGAATTTGTAACTTCAGCATCTCTATTTCTAATTCCATTTTTTGGACATGTGTGCTCCTCTTTTTCGAAGTCAATTTCCATTTGAAGCTTCTTTTTTGATAGTTCATGCTCTTCGACTATGCAACTCGCACTTTTTTGCCTTTTTTGAAGCAATATCAGACTTGAGGTTTGTCTATTGAAGAAAAGTATGTATTTAAACACAAAACATTTACATACATAAACATTTTGCTAATTTGTATTTACCTAGTGTCTGCTCTAGTTCAGAGCTACAATTTTCAGTGGGGGATGCGGATAAATTTTCTTCCATCTCCGCTGAAACTTCCACAAGGCAAGTTTCTTCTAAAGTACAATTATGTTAAAATTATAGTACACATATTGTTGGAATTTGTTCAATTACGAATTACCAATTATTTCTAATGCGTCATCATCATAAATAGCTTCATTGCCCGCAATTTGCTCAGGCTGGCAAATGCTCAGCATTTTCCCGTCTATTGTTGTGCTGGGTATAGAAGCTCTTGTTCCACCGCCGGTTTTATAAATATCACGCCTTTCTGCAGCTAATCTCTTTTTTGAGTCCTTTTTCACATTCTCGTACTTCGTCTTCAGCACCTTTGAGCTCCTATACACTTGACTAAACTTTGAGTTGAACTCGATCTCTATTTCCTTCCACACTTTCAATTTTTCCTCTGCGCAAACTCGATCAGTTTCTTTCCACTCCAGCACATTTTTATTTAGTTCTACTAATTCTAATAAAAAGCTCACTTCACTCGTTGAAAAATTATTACTTCTCACAGACATTTTTATTTATTTGTTCACAGCGTTTAATTTTTATGGAAATTTATCAAGCAATGGCGTCGAATTGTAAACAAACAACAGCTGTTGTCGTATCTAGATAAAGAAAAAACCAGTGTTGCCCTACGAAATTGCCAATGTTTACAGCGGCCTTAAACTCTCACTGAAAAACAGCTCTCCAGTTTAAACTCAGTTTAAATTTAAACTGAGTTTCACTAAACTTAGTTTAAACTGAGTTTAAACCAGCACTGAAAAGCTGGCCCTAAAATAGAGTGGCTGCATGGTTAGATTAGTAATTCGCTTATATTATCGATGTTTATGTGTTTTAATCTATTTAAAACATCACTTACAGTCTTATAGTAAATTGCCTTATTTTACGGCCTTTACTGTGTGGAGCTGCCGATACAAATATATATTCAGGCTTATAAGCCTGCAATTATAAATTTTTCTACATTTGATTTGAAATAGTATGCACCAAGGGATTAATAGTAGTAAATAATTAGTACCTTTTCTACTACTTTAAAATACGTGACCGGAATAGACCTGCCGAAAAAGTGTGGTTAAGTTACTGACAACACCTTGTTATTATTCCACCATGGGGATACGAGTTCTTATAGCCCGAACACAATGAAAACGACGAGCTACAAACCACAGCTGTCAAATTATTTTAACACGTACTCTTATGTAGATAATTATTTTGGCGACGACCGGGCTACGCGACGGCTGTGGTTGTGGCCAGATTAGATCTATTTCTATTTTTCTGGCGACAGATAAGGTTCTTCCTCTTCTGTTATGTAAAACTCATACAAATTCATGATGTCGCTGCCGCGTTCAAAGAAATCATGTCGCCATCGACAAAGCGCTGAGATAATAAAGATGACAAATTGGAAGCTGTGGTCGGTAGCTCGTCGTTTTCAATGTGTTCAGAACTTTAGTTAGCAACAAATAATAAAGCATCGTTCGTAGGGACCGTTATATATGGGGTGTTCACAGTTCGTTCCAAATTATGTCTGAAAATGTAGACGTCTACATTTTGAGACATCTTTAGCATCAAACTGTGAGCACCCCTTTCTAGCAGTCGTCGCAAAATCGTCTCAAAACTTTGCTGGTGTTGCCAGACATTTCCTCTTTGCGTGCATTTTTTATATATCGCCTTTCGATTTTGTTTCTGAAAAATTGTAATTATTTAACTTTATTACCAATTCCTAATATTTGTTATTTCTTTTCCTTGATTTGTTTCTTTTCATCAGAAATTGCGCTCAAATTAAATGCAAATACAAAAAACGTGCCCAATAAATAAAAAGAACGTGATTAGTATTGCCATAATGCAACCCTGCTGCGAGGTTGCAAAATGTAGACGCGTAAAAAACATACCTTTGAGGGTGACAAAATGTAGACGGCGTCGTTTTCCAAGTTTGTATGGGATTTTACAGATTTTACAGATTTTACGGTTAGAAAACGTCTTAAAATGTAGACGTCTACATTTTGAGACACTATTTGGAACGAACTGTGAACACCCCAATAGTTATTCGTCAAATCCACTGAACGAAATTTAGTACACACGTGTACATAATTGATTAACAGTTATGTGTTTCAATTTTCACTTTCATAGCTCATCAGTTCGCGTTTTAATGTGCGATGGAGTACGCATCGAAAATTAATTCTGAACGGATGTATAGCAAATCCTGCATGGTCGGGTTCTAAAATTGCGAAAAAATTGAAATTGCCTAAATCAACTGTGTGTAGCGTGTTGAAGCGATATAAGGAGACCTTAAGCATAGAGAGAACTAAAAAGAAGTGTATAAAAAAGGAACACGTGACTTAGAATTAGCGAAGAAGATACTAACCTCAATTAATGGCTGCGTTTCTTTACACATTCCGGATAATCCCATTTCACAGCCGGAATAAACAGAATACGTTTGAAATATACGTCAACATATCATCAGGAACGTTCTAAAGAATAAATAAACAAAAAAGTTTATTCCAAACGTTCAGAATGAATAAAGAAATGCAGCCAATAACAATCCTGGGTTATCAGACAATGATCGTGCGAAAAAATTCGGGACGAGTATAAGTACAGCGAGACGTATACGTTTAAATGCCGGCCTTAGGACATATCGTGCTAAAGTACCCAAATAGATCTGATAAAAAGACCCTTTGGCAAAAAGACGCATACGGTTGCTTTACAATCAAATTTTAACAAAGTTTAAAGGCTGCATTATTATGGACGACGAAACTTACGTTAAACTCGACTGCAATCAACTTCCTGGACAAAAGTTTTATGTCGCAAGTAAACGTGGGAATGTTACCTCAAAATTTAAATATAAAAAGATAGATAAATTTGCTGAAAAAAACTGGCAAGCAATATGCTCCTGTGGCCATAAAAGTCGTCCATTTGTAACTTCGTCCACAATGACATCCCACATTTATATAAATGAGTGCTTTCAGAAGAGATTACTTCCTTTTATTCGATATCATAGATCCTCTGCTAAATTCTGGCCAGACTTAGCCAGCATACATTACTCTGCCGGTGATATCAAAACAATAAGGTAGAAGCAATTCCGAAAAGCATTAATCCGCCTAATTGCCCTCAGCTCCGCCCAATAGAAAAATTTTGGGCGATAGTTAAGTATAATTTGAGGAGAAGCGGCTGGGTCGTACACTGATATGAATCAATGTTGCCTCTGTGGAATAAATATGCAGCCAAAGTGACGAGGAAAACTGTTCAAAAATTAATGGCTTCTGTTAAGGAACATGCGCGTAGTTTTTTACATAATAAGGATTTGTAATCTTTTTTATAATCAAAATAAAACCTTAATAGACGGTATTTTGTTATATATAAATATTTTTAGTGTCCAATATCTATTTCAAAAGTTGTGATATTTTTTGCGCGTACAGATTATGAATGAACGATGCTTTACTTGTGTATCTTTTATATATTACTAATTGAATTAAATAATTTACGGTGACTCAGGATATCCGCTGGAACCATGGATGTTAACTCCTTATCGCAACGCTGACGAAAATTCAGTGGAATGCGGGTTTAATAATTGCCAAAGGGCGGTCCCTGTGGGAGAGAGGAGGCCTCTGCCTTCTAGTAGCGTTGAGTGGCTGACGGTGTCGGACGCCTTGGACAGGTCCAACGCTACTAGAAGAGTTCTCTCAGAGGGGTGATTTCGGTTAAGGCCACGAGTTATATGTGTGTTTATGGCGCTAAGTGCTGTTGTTGTGCTGTGCGCTTTACGGAACCCATACTGATGCTTCGCTGGGGTCAGGTGGTTAGTGTAGTGCCTCTAGTGTTGTAGAAGGGCATCTAGAGTCTTCCCTAACTGGAAAAGGGGAGTTATCGGGAGATAAGGCTCTCCTTTGTTGGACAGCTTCCCCGGTTTAAGCAGTGGAACCACTCTCCCCATTTTCCAGATGTCTGGAATGATGAGAGTGGCCATACACAGGATGAGGAACTTGGTTAGATAGTCCACTCCCGCAGCGTGCAAATTCCGTCGGGTTCAATGGTTTGGGAGTCTTTCGCCTTCACGATGGCTACCCTTACCTCGCCGCTGGTGAAAACAAGAGGTGCACTTGGTTTTGGCAGGTTGTGCAGCCTTGTGGTCACTCACCGGTTGGCTTTGTCCGCCGGAGGATGCAGTATGAACTGTCGGCTAAAATAGCTCGCGCATAGCTCCGAGTCCGACGAAGCGTGGTCCCCAAAAGATATTTCAACTCTGTCGTTACGCATCGTCGGGTTGGACAATGACCTCACGGTTGAATAAAGTTTGCTCACACCAGAGGCGAAGTTGCAGGTCTTCAGATGCTCTTCTCCCTTCTTCCGCTTTTGTACGTTTAATAGTTGTCGAATATCCGAGTTGAGATCCCAGATACGGAGATTTCCAGGATCGGCCTGACGAAGGTTGTCACGCTCATCGGCTACGTCAGCCGCTTCAGCAGGAACATTCGGACGGGGGTTCGAAATGCGTCCTGCTAGAATGAAGCGAGCTGCAGCAGCAGTGACAACCCTGCCGAATTTACACTCACACACGTGAACGTCGGTTGGTGTTGTTAGTGCAGGGAAGGTGCTTTCTGTAACATCCGCGAAGCCTTTCCAGTCTGCTTTGGAGAAGTTGGCATAGGTCCGGTGATCCGCGGAAGCAAAGTCGGCAGGTATATCAATCTGGATGACTATGGGCAGATGGTCTGAAGCTAAACTCAGCATAGGACGCCATGATATGCTGTTTATCAGACCAGCGCCGACAATTGTGAGGTCTGGCGAGCTGCAGTTGCTGTCCATAATCCTGGTGGGTGCGTCGTCGATCATTGTGTATAATATCGAATCATCTATCTGCTCTGCAAAGTGTGTTCCCCTACGATCATTCGATAGGCTGGAATGCCAAAGATCGTGGTACGCGTCAAAGTCGCCAACTACCATTCGGTTTTCACCTCTGAGGAGCGCACTTATTTCAGGGTGATATCCTGCCGGGCATCTGGTGACAGGGGGTATATATCAGAGTGACCTCCTTGTGAGTAATTCCTTAAAACGTGAGGAATTTCGGGTGCGCTTGAGTGTTTTGTGAGGATTTTTATTTTGAGGAATTTTTGTGGAATTTTCTCTCGATATATTTGCAGATAACAAATGCAACCATGTTTTACATAACAGAGTTATTATATCGCTCTGCAAATTTTTGAACAAACCAAATAAACACCAAAAAAATATTTTTCCAACTTTGGAGTAAATTTCTCAAGTTGATATCCAACATCATTCTCCAACTAATCTCTAACCGACGCGCAGATACGTAAAAAGTGATAGAGCAACGAATTTTTAATTATCAAGTGAAAAACGAAAGCTATATTAAGAGGAAAGTTACCAACCAAAAGTAAATAATCTTCAAAGTATCCTGAAATAATCAATTGGCAAAATTACTGTCGGACTGTATACTGTGTAGTGAATTATTGTAATACGATATTGATTAACTACATAATACAAAAGGAGTAATAAAATGAAAAATTAGTATTTAAATTCATCTATGTGACATACAATCAAAAAGGTATTTTACTATTTCAATTTCAGTATTTCATTGATATGTTTGAGACCAATTGGAGAATTACACTGGAGTTGAAGTTGAGAACTAGAATTTTCTCAACTTGAGAAACAGTCGTTTTTTTCATACAAAGAAAAATGCC